CTCGGTTCTTAGGCCACTTAGTCCCTAGATTTTACAACTAAAAGTCACAACTAAAAGGCAAGGAAAATCAGTTATTTTTAAGAGGAAAGAACACAGACTTACCAGAAGCTATCAGACGGAAAGTATGGATATCTCGTACTTTGAAAAACAATAGAAGCTTCCTAAAAGCTGCCAGGGATACTGCTGATAACCAAAATACGAAAAGTGCTTTCTGATGAATGGATGGCGAGCCTTTTGACGGGAGGCGTCCTCGTCCTTCTGTGAAATTCCCAGCTTTTACGACATTCATCGTTGATTATCTGAGACGAAAAAAAATATTTGGTTGTTTGACCCTCGCAACAAATTCCTCGATACTGACTTTAAATGTCAAAAAAGAGAACTCCCAGAGTCCCTCTTTCTTCCTTTTTTCTAGAGCTGGAACTAATATGTTTTATACCACGTTTTATAAGAATAGTGAACGAAATGGAGGAAATAGCCATAAGTTTGTTTGAATTCAATACACGAAAGTTGTTAGCCAGTCTCAGATCGGCTACGTTTAGGAGATAATTTGAATATATCAACAAAGTTGAAATGGTAAATTGGCCACCGTTACGATTATAAAAGCTGACGTTTCGAGCATTAGCCCTTCGTCGGAGCGAATAGAGGAATTGTGGGTTGTGTGCTTTTAATGGAAGAAAATGGAGCTACGTGATTGGTGGGAACATGGCAACGAGAAAAACTCGAATAAATACCACCACCGACGCAGCCCCAAACAGTTTCTTTAGAAACTATCAGCCTTTATACGTTTAGGAGAGGTTTAAATTTTTAGGGCTATTGTTTAACACAAACTGATAGAGCTTTGTATACCGACACCAAAGATTAGCATTATGTAGTGAAATTGAGGTAGAAAATGATTTACAGCCGAACGTATCGCATGTCCTCTTGTCAAACTTTAGCAGAGTTAGTAATCATTACCAAATAATTCTTATTAGTATAATTTCAGACCTGAGCAAAGAGTTTCAAGCAATCTCAGGCTGATTGGTCGAGCGGTTCCTTATATGACGCTATATAAACCGCTCCACGCGGTTGATATAAAATGTTAAAATAAAATGTTAATAAATGTTACTAAAATGTTATGATTTTAGAAATTTCTCTAAAACAATTATTCGCCTCAGGTTCGGTGAATGTTGTCGAATAATCCCCTCGACTTCGTCTCGGGGATTATTCGATGATATTCACCCCGCCTTCGGAGAATAATTGTTAAATAGTAATGGCAATTTGCCGATAATAATAATTATCTAGATCGTTGGATAATGCAATTCAAGACTTTTTATTGGCTTAGCCATTATGGTATATCAGCCAATATACCATAATCTACAAATATGGCAAGCGTACATGTCAGCTTAAATTAAAAGGGAGCTAAAAATTTAATAAAATTTAATAATTTAATTTAACGTTTTTAATAAACCAATTATTCCACTCGCGCTTGTTGGATATAAGATGATTATAGCCAACTCGGCGCTATGCGCCTCGTTGGCTATCTATCATCTCATATCCAACGCGCGCTCGTGGAATAATTGTTAAATATACTCTAGAATTGATGTCATGATCTTCTACCATCATGACATCAATTCTAGAGTATGATCTTCTACCATCATGAATCTGAAGAATTTTGTTTGGTTTACCCAGTAAATACTTTACCAGTGCTAGGAAATACAATTAAAATTACCAACCTATGTTCATGGCAGAATGTTTTTTTTTGGTTAGTGACTTGTGATATAATCTTGAATTCTCACTGTTTGTCCATGTAGGACTTGTTTAATTCAGCATTTGAAGGCTTCAAGTATCAAGGGGATTTTGGCTTGTTTAAAGCGGAAAAGAACATTTTGTTTCAAGTAAGTAATTGTTCCACAATCATCTGTGAGGTTGCTCCTTTTTACCCCCTCACTATCAAGCCAGTCACAAGGACAAAGTTTGGCCCAATGTGCCCCTTCTTAGGTCATCCCAGAGCTGTGCCAAACTTCTTTGTTGAAGTTCTAAAAATTTAAAACTGTTCCCAAACTAGCATCAGTGATAATCATGGTTTCACAGCTGACATTTCTTATATCTGTTCATCTGAAGACAATTTAATAAACCTGCATCAATTTTGGAAAAGGAGATTAGAATGCTACTTTAGAAATGGCATGAATCTCATAATTTCATCTCAGCCATGTACAAGATGCAGTGGTCTGACTGCTAGCACACTTGAGTCCAGGTTGAGAGGTGTGGCTCTAAGACCTGATAACTGATGTGTTCTTGGGCAAGACGTGACACATTTTCAGTGCTCCTCTCCACCCCAGAATATTTAATGGGTACTGGTGAAGTGACAGGGAACCCTTCCAAAGTGCTGGGGGGGGGGGGGTTAGCTTGTAATTGACCAGCTTCCTATCCAGGAGATCAGCAGTGCCCCTAGTTTCTTTGCATTGAGTAAGATAAAGTTCAGCATTGTGTTACCCCTACTTGGCTTGAGTGCAGACCCAAC